ACCAAGAATATCATTTACTCTAATGCTTGCTGTCGACGTCGCAGGGCATACCACGCTGCGTGCATAAAAAGCTAATTATTGCACTCTGTGCCGTAATTTCGGGCGAAAAAAAATGTTCGCAAAAAAGGGCCCTTCTAGAGGAACGAAGTAAGTGCAAACAGTGACAATCGCGGGAACCCGCTGTACTGTTATACGCCAGGGCTATAATCAGAAGGCGCCCTAAATCCCTTCCTATGTATACCCGTTGGGAAGAAAAAATTCCCACGGGCGGGCACCCGTTATATGCCGGCCCATGGCACACGCTGGCGTACTATGGGGTGCAACGGTAAATTAATCGTTATTTAGCACATTATTTAGCGGTATAGAAGTCATTATCTGGTGGTTAACCCTTAGAAGTACATGCCCTTATATAAGATGCAAGGATATCTTTATATAATAAATAAACAATTATTTAACTATAACAAACCACACTAATTAAATAAATACGATTATTTAACATATAATATATTCATATACAATAATAGTAATACATTATTTTAACATATAATATATTAATATCAATAATAATACTCCCTTATATGCTTAAATATGTGTATTTTATTGTATATAATATATTATATAATTAATAATATATTATATACATTTATAATATATTATCATTATATAATCTATATAAATTATATACATGCATTATTTAAGCATATAATATATTATATAATAATTACTATATTATATACTATATAATTATATAATATTAATATAATTATATAGATACATTATTTAACATATAATATCTTATATAACTTAAATATACATTATTAACATATAATATATTAACATAATTATATAATGCATTATTTAACATATAATATATTATATAATATACTAATGAATTTATATATATATAATTATATAATATATTATATAATTATATAATCATTATTTCACAGTATAATAATATTATACACCATATTATAAACACCTATCTTGTTACGTTCGGCGCAGCGCTGGTCTTAGTATGCTTGCGGGTGGGGCCCCTTAACGTGGGATAACGCAGCAAAAAAAAACAAGTGAAGCATCGGAACATAACAAGCTCTGTTAATTTGAAAAAAATGGATTCGGACATGTTCAAGGCTTAATCTGCAAGGCCTTGTACCAGCTTATATCCCCAAGCTGTAACGCTCAAGCTTTGTGTGCGAATCAGGCGCAGGTAAGTTTACGTATACTTTGAAGTTAGTTTTTCTGAAATTATCAGGTTAAACCTAGAACTAGATTCCAATCTGACTGTGCCTATTGTTGCCGTTGGGAGCTTATAGCCGCCTTAGGCTATAAGCTTCCAACATAGACACAGTCAGATTGGAATCTAGTAGTAGTTCTAGGTTTAACCTGACACGTTCAGAAAAACCAACTTCCAAAGTAACTAAACTTACCAGTGCCTGTTGCAAAGCTTGCGCAATTTCTTGTGATATCGCTGGTACAAGGCTTGCAGTTAAGCTTGAAACATGAAAGCTTTCCCCCCCCCA